GAGCCGCCTCCGGCAGCAGAGGCCGACTCGGTTTCGTCGTCGTCTGCTGCGGCCGCCGCCGCCGCCGCCAGGGACAGTAGAGAGAGAAGCCAGTCGAAGCCCAGGGGGGAGCTCGTCGGACGACGGGTGGCTGAGATCGAGGCCCGGACCGAAGCTGAAGGCGGGACTTCGTATTTTGTGGAGACCAGCGAGGATGGGTGTTTCCTGGGGCTTGTTGAAAGGGTCGAGAGCTCCGGGGACAACGGGGTCTTGGCGGCTAGCCGTGGAGGAGAGATTTCCCTCAAACAGCTCAGTCCAGCGGAGAGAGCGAAGTTCGAGATGTCAGATGATAAGGAGTGGCAGAACATGATGGGCTCAGGAGCGGTGGAAGTAATACCTCCCAAGGAGGCGGGGGCTGTCAGGCGCACCTGTCCGGATCGGATAATTACCAGCCGAATGGTGCGCCGGTGGAAGCCGGTGGAAGGCACCTTCGCCGAGCCCACTGCCAAGTCGAGATGGTGCGTCCATGGTCACAAGGACCCGGACACCGGGTCACTGTTTGTGTATTCGCCTACCCCTCAGACTACGTCAATTCTCATGTTCGTCCAGGTCATGATGAACTTGGGTCATTTAGGAGATATAGCCGACGTCAAGAACGCCTTCTGTCAATCGAACCCGATGCAGAGGACCCAGGGAGAGATTTACGTGGAACCCTGCGAAGGGATTCGGGTGGAGAAGGGATCCCTGATACGTTTACTCGTCAACGTGTATGGGCTCGACGATGCCCCCCTCGCTTGGAGGAAAACCGTGGTCGGGTTTCTGCAGAAACAGGGTTTCGTGAGAAGCCTACTAGAACCGTGCTGGTGGATCAGATACGGCCCTGACGGGGCCATTCTGAACATGATTCTTCTGGAAGTGGATGACTTCTTCATATCCAGCAGCTCTCGGGAGACTCGCACGTGGGTTCGTCAGGTGCTCGAGTCCCGGTTCAAATTCGGGAAGTACCGCGACTGCCACGAGGGGCCAGTCGAGTACGCCGGGAGGCGTGTGTCGTTTGCCCCCCACCGGACCCTCATCGATCAAGAGAAGTACATACTAGAGGAGGTCAGGCCAGTGAGCATGGAGCGCGGGAGGCTCGGGCTAAAGAAAACCCCTCTCACTCCCGCTGAGTTCAAGTCCCTCCGTTCTCTGATATATAAGCTTAATTGGGTCGGGCGAGAGACGCGACCCGAGGCGGCCGGAGCGGCCAGTATCTTAGCTAGCAGGCTTAAGAACGCTACGACGGGTGACGTCACCATCGCCAATCGAATGGTGAGGTACTTCCGGTCAACGGCCTCCAGAGGCCTCAGCATTTGGAAGCTCGACCCTGATCGTATGGCGTTCGTGTCTTTCTCGGATGCCGGGGGTGTTGGAGCCAACGAGGGACTCGTGGACGAGAGGGGTCTCCCCGAAGACCCCACCCAGGGCGCGTGGATGATTCTTGCCACGGACAGGAGCGTGCTGGATAACTGCGCCGTGAAGGCTTCCGTGCTGGGATGGCGCAGTTCCAAGTTGCGTAGGAAGGTCTCTTCGACCTTGGCCGGGGAAACTCAGGCCCTCTCCGCCGCCGTGGCGGAAGTAGAATTTCTGCAGGTTTTGTACCGGGACGTGGTTTTCAGGGATGTTGATGTGAATGACACGTCCAGGGGTTCAGGACCTTTCACGACAGCTCTCAGGAGGGACTGTCGGTTAGGCGGCCGAGTGGATCAAGTTCATGTGGTAGACGCAAAGAGCATCTACGACACAATGCTCAAGGAGGGCAATGCCAGCGCCCGAGACAGGCGCACCGCCCTGGATCTGGCGGGGGTATGTGAGACCCTCGAGAGAGCCCGGGGCCACGTAAGATGGGTGCCACACGGCAGGATGCCGGTGGATACGCTCACGAAGGACGATGTGAGCAAGAGCAACGCCGCCCTGGCCAATCTGCTGGCCAACGGTCGGCTGGTGCTAATAGACGAAAGTGCTGAGATGGCCCGTCGCAGAGAGCAGCCAGGGGCGAAGGATCGATCCCACGCTGCTTCGAGGAGGACCCTCGACGGCGACTCCCGTCTGGTGTCGTGGGCGGAGTTCGTCTCAGCCCCGTCGGCCTCGGGGTTGGCCTCCGGGACGACCTTTCCTCCTCCCTCTCCTTTCTAGCCCATCCTGTTCTTCCAGGGTGTCTGACTTGCTGTGTGCAGTTACTGCTTTATATACGGGGAAGCTAAACCTAGGAGAAAGCTTGACCCATGTGACAGGCTTCCTGATTTCGGTATTATAGGTTTAGCTCAATGATCTTTTCTGTTGATCATGTCATAAGAACGAGTTTGGGAACTCGTTCGTTTCAGACGCAGTGGTCAGCTAGAGGAGACAGTACTGTCGTTTGCCGATTTGGCTCAAGGCAAAAGCATCCGCTCATCTCGCTGCTGCCACAAAGCCGCGAGGAGTTCTTCGCCATTTGAGATGTGATGAATGACCGGCCACCGCGACAACGCGAGAGCTATAACTCGGGCACACCGCCACGTACGAGACAATTACCGCGACATCCCATTGAGACGCAAAGCCTCGTCATAGGCCAACCCAGAGGCGCCGTACACCGTCGACGCCAACATCGGTGTGGCCACCAACATGGCCAGTCCCAGCGCGCGCCGCAAGGCGAGGTTGGGGTCCAGATGTGCGCCGTCAGGAGTGGGGGGAGGGGAGGGCGCGGGACAGGAGCGGAGGGGATGCGGAGGATAATGGGGGCCACCAGCGGCACGCCACTAGAACACAAGGGGCCCCCAGTGCTGCAGATACCCCCCACGGCGTGGTGCTTCTCTAGTTTTTCACGAAGACGTGCAACCGCCCCGCCAGGGAGACGCTCCAGAGTCGCAACATGAACCACGCTCGTATGGATCGTCTCGTACACCCCGGTCTTTGTTGTGTCCCCCCATGCCTTCCTTCGCATCCGAGTAAGATATCGGTACGCAACAGGAAGGTAGTTCGCAGAGAACCATATCCAGCCATTCTACCAGGATAGGAACCATTTTCAAATACGAGGTGCGTGCGGCCATGCTTCTGTTAGCAGGGGTATGTGGAGCAGAAATGCAGATATCGCAGAGGTCGGCGGGGCCATGCTCAGCACGAACAGCAAGGGCTCGACCTGCCTGCCACCAGTTCAGGACTCCCCCAGTACCTCCTTGCATCCTTCCCGATGCAGTGGGGTCCCAGAGCTGTCTCAATGCCACAGTGAGGCGTGGAGGGGCCGTTGTCCGGGGGGGGGTCCCCACCTCCGCTTGGAAATCGAAGGCCGAGGAGAGGGGAAGGGTCGAAGAGATCGAGGAGGTTTCTCGGTGTAGTTCGGAGTCCTCAGTGGGTTTAGGGGGGGTCCAGGGGGGCTCGTTTGCTGGAGGAGGAGCAGGAGGAGGAGGACGAGGTGGAGGGGCCGTTGTCCGGTGGGGGGGCTCGAAGGCCAGCCTGCCGCCGCGTCGCCCCCCCGCAGCGCCTGGGCGCCGCGCAGCGGGATCCCCACTCTCGTCCCCACGAACGCATCGGAGGTTGATAGACCTCCTACCCTGACACGTCGATTCAGGAATTGGCTATTTCGGTTCGCGAGAGGGCGTCGCGGCCGCCAGTTCTGCGGGTCCAGGTGCGTCGGTTTCGGTCCCAGGCCGTTTTCATTAAAGGGAGGTTTACCAAAGGGGGGTTTGTCCACCGCCGAAAGCAACATGTCGAAATTACGAGTGTCATCCACAATTTCCAGTAGTCTACCTCCTGTAGCAAACATGGGGCCGCAGCCAAGGACCCGAAAAACAAACATCGACATGAACACGACCACACCGACACCCATCCGATCGCAAAATGAGGCAAGGCGAGACGGTTCGAAACGAAATACCGAGGCCAGACCGGCCTTGGTCAGCCGTGTGTTTGTGCCGTCATGGGCTTAGGAGGAGGAAGAGGAGGAGGAAGAAGAAGGGGAGGAGGAGGAGGAGGAGGAGGAGGAGGAGGAGGAGGAGGAGGAGGAGGAGGGGAGGGGGAGGCTCGATTTCTTGTTATCTTCACCTACAGTGGATCATAATCACCTCCATCACCCCCTCTCTGACCAGGTGGGCGTATATTATGTGCCCCAGAGGGCCTTTATGCTGTTCCTTTTTCCCACTGTGCTCGGCCTTGTTCTCGCTGCGCCCACCCAGGTCTACTGTGTGGGCCACCGCACGGGAGCCGGCCACGTTCTCTGCATTTCCCAACTTGCACACTGCGAACCTCGATGCTCAGAGTCTGGACAGCGTCAGCAAGGGTAGGGGGAGGCCAAGTGAGCGACGAAGGAACGCAGGTTCGTCTTCACCGGCATTGGTGTGTAAGCTCCCCGCGTAAGGTCGCGCGTCAGCGTTCTTGTTTCCAACGTGGCGTGCCGCGCTGGCGGCCCGCGCAAGCCGCGTCGTGAGGTCGCTGTGCCATCTCGCGTAGGACTCTTTTTCTTTTCGCCGCTCGAGTGGCAGACGGAGGAGGACGAGGAAGACGAGGAGGACGAGGATCAAGGGAGGAAAAAGCACCCCGGTCCCGATACTTTGCATTTCCTAAACGGCCCTGGGCGTTTCTTGAACCGCCCCGCCACGTTCGATTCCCTCCTTGGGTGTGTTTACTAAACGGCTTCGCTTGTCGGGGCGCTTACGTATTGCAGTAGGAACCCATGCCAAGAAACACCCTGCTTGCCTCCAGGGTGCCCTGGGTCTCTTGGGCTTCGATGGTTTCGCGATGGAAGCCGTGGCGCTCCCACACCAGAAATCCACGGACGTCCTGCGGTCTCAGGGTTGGGTCTCTTGTAGATGGTCTCCTGTGGTCGTCGAGCTCCTGTGAGGAGGAGGAGGAGGAGGAGGAGGAGGAGGAGGAGGAGGAGGAGGTGGGTCTCCTATGGTCCTGGGTCTCCTCCTGTGGTCGAGCTCTTATTGTACTGTGAGGGTGGATTTTCTGCTGCCTAGAGAGGCGGACCGTCGCCCGGCCGGCCGGCCAGCCAGCGCGCGCGCGAGGCGCGAGATGGCGCCCAGAATTCGCCCCGCGGGGCTGCTGCTGGCGGCTGCCTGCGCCGTGGCGCCTGCTGCGCAGGCGCGGGCAGATCGGACGTGCTGTCGTCCTCGATCCTCGATCCTCCTCGATCCTCCTCGACCCGCCCCGCTCCTCCTCGATCCTCCCCGCGCCTGCTCGCTCTCCGATCCTCCTCCAGCTTCTGCGCTCCACCTCGTCCCTCGCGCCCGTGGCGCGGGCGCCCCCCCGCCCCCCCCCCGTTGGCCGTTCGGACTTTGGTGGCCCGCGCGGCTTCCGTAGATCGCCGCTGGTCCCCCCTCAGAGAAGGAACGAGCAACCCTACCGCTACCCCACCCTCATCTTCGCCTTTTGGGGCCTCCTGGGAGGCCCTCGTTGCCACCGCTGGATTCGCCTCGAACTCCTCGTTAGAACGCACTCCGGGAGAGGTCCGAGGAGTAGAAGTATCGGTACGTTTTGGTTTCCCCACAGTCGGCCTCTTGCATGAGCACCACCACAGGCTCGTCCTCGGCCAGAGAGCACCATGCGCCTTCCGCCGTCCATTGACACCTGATGCCTTCCAGAAAGGGCCCTGCCTTCGAGGATCGACGGAGTTGCCATCTCCTCCTCGGCGGAAGGACGGCGGAAAGACAGCGGAAGCATGCGGAAGTGAAGCGAGGCCGCCTCCGCCAGGGAAGCCGGCGGACGGCTGGCGGACGGCTGGCGGAAGCCGGCGGAAGCAAAAGAGGCGGGGGTCGAAGCGCTTCCTGCGCTCCCAGGGTTCCCTGCTTTTTGGGGGGCTTCGATCCTGTCTCGTGCATTTCAGGGGCTCCGATCGAACTAACTTCGATTGCGCCGATGCTCACTTTGTTTAGGCTTCGGCAGACAGTGTTACCAGCCCAGCACTAGGCCTCCAGAGCTGTCGACGAGAAGGGGCATTGGTTTGTGTGGAAGCAAAAGATGCGCCCCTAAGAGTCGGCATTTTTTTTGGGGGGGGGCGTAAGGGTTTCCAGAACCCGCCGTTGGATTGCGACACGGATGGGACTTGAAGCTCGCTGAGGGGCAGCGAACGCGATCTGTGCTTCTGGGGCGACGGGGGAGAGGGCAGTGCTTTTGTAGGGCAAGAGCAAGCCTGAGCAGCCCAATAGTCGGCAAGAGCAGACCTGAGATCGATCAGAGCTTCTCGCGAAGGGCGGCCGTAATGACTGCTGTTGTTGACCGATCAAGCGCGCCAGGCGAGCGTACGGGGATCTGGTCCTGGAAACATCGCTGCCCCCCCAGCGACCTTCAAGATGGGACCTCGCAGCTTGATGCCTCAGCCTCTCTCCAAGGGACGCCGCCCGCCGCGCAGGTCGGGATGGAGCGCCCCCAGGGGCCGTTCGCGGGATCGCTGTTCAGTGCGGCGCTCCTCGCGGCCTTCTCTTCGGATCGGGGGTCGAGGGTCCGGAGATCTGGCGGGGTGTCTTCTTGCTGTTGCAGTCGAGCGTCTGATTGAGAGGCCTCCTCCCGAAAAACTGGGCCAGCGTTTCTCGACCCGCTTGCCGCAAAGCTGGCCCTGTTTCTTGAGCGCGTTCGCCTCTTCAGCGTTAACACCAGAAATTGGCTCAGGCTGCTTTTGAGCATCTTCGGGAAGTTGGTCCAGTTTTCTTCACTTATAATTGTCTTGGTCATATGCCCGGCTGGAACCTCGCGCTTTTCCCCGAGTTTCGGGCGCCGGGCCATCACATATTGTTCTGGGGCAAGAGATGCCCCCTGGGATGGGGTCGGGACATGTAGGGCCGCGGATGCAAAAATTATGCCGTCGGATGTTTGGGAACATCGGGGATCGAGGTTCGTTCGATAGTCGAGGACAAGGGGCCGTTCGCGGGATCGCTGTTCTGTGGGGCCGCGGATGCAGGTCATGCCGTCGGATGTGTGTGAATATCGGGAATCGAGGGTCGAGAGTCGAGGACAATGGGGAGGAGGAGGTAAGAAAGGAAAATGGAGACGAGGAGAGAAGAGTCAGGTTGGAGGGGAAAGGAATGAGACAAAAAAATAGGGAGGGGGGGGGCGGGGGGTGGTGGAAGGGGGAAGGGGGGGAGAGGAAGGGATGCGGAGAGAGAGGAGGAGGAGGAGGAGGAGGAGGAGGGGAATAGGAGGAAGAGGAGGGCAAGGAGGAGGAGGAGGAGGAGGAGGAGGAGGAGGAGGAGGAGGAGGGGTGAAGGGGAGTCGAGGACAAGAGGCTCGAGTGTCGAGGGTTCGAGGGGCTCGAGGGCTCGCGGGCTCGAGGGTTCGAGGTGCTCGAGGGCTCGGGGGATCGAGGGTTCGAGGGGCTCGAGGGCTCGGGGGTTCGAGGGTTCGAGGGTGTCGCGGGTTTCGAGGGTTCGAGGGTTCGAGGACTCGGGGGCTCCGAGGGCTCGAGGGCTCGAGGACCAGAGATCGAGGGTTGGAGGGTCGAGGACCGAAGATCGTCGGAGGGCTCGAGGGTTCGGGGTGCTCGAGGTGCTCGAGGGCTCGAGTGCTCGAGTTTCGAGCTTCGAGGGTTCGAGGGCTCGAGGGTCCAGGAGGACCCGGGGATCGAGGGCTCGAGGGTTCGAGCAGCCGATGATCAAAGAGACAGTCGGCGCGAGGGGCTAAGAGCAGGCCTGGCTTGGAAGGGGGGCCCTCGAGTCGTTCGTGTTCGGGCCCTCGGTATTGGAATACTCGTCGTTTCGGGCATCCTCACGGGGCATTTATCTTTTGTGAAGGGGCCCGTGTTCTGGACATTGTCCAGGCCATGTTCCGATTGCAACGAGGATCGAGAGTTCGAGGGTCGAGCACCAGGGATCGGGGATCGAGGGTTCGAGGGTCGAGTTCTGGGGGATCGAGGATCGAGGGTCGAGTTCGAGGATCGAGGATCGTGGGTCGAGCTCGAGGGTTCGAGGGTCGAGTTCGAGGTTCGAGGGTTCGAGGTTCGAGGGATCGGGGATCGAGGGTTCGAGGGTTCGATGGTCGAGGGGAAGACCGGGGAATTGACGACCGTGGGTTCCACGGTCAAGGACCGCGATTCTTTTTCTAGGGCTTTCGGGCCACTGGAATTCCTGACGGGCGCTTGGCAATCGCCCGTGGGCTGTTGAGCTGCCACTGGCCTCACCGAAGTATCTGGCCCAATGCCATGAGATGATGACAACAGTGATGATGATGATGATGATGATGATGATGATGATGAGGAGGAGGATGAGGATGATGATGATGATGATGATGATGATAATGTTGATGCTGATGCTGATGATGCTGATGCTGATGATGCTGATGATGCTGATGCTGCTGATGATGATGCTGATGCTGATGCTGTCGATTATCATGCTGTTGCTGACGATGATGCCGATGATGATGATGATGATGATGATGATGATGATGATGATGATGATGATGATGATGATGATGATGGTGATGGTGATGGTGATGGTGATGGTGATGGTGATGGTGATGGTGATGGTGATATTGTTGCTGCTGATGATGGTGATAATTATGATGGTGATGGTGATGGTGATGACGATGGTGATCGTGATGATGATGGTGAAATGAGGATGTCGATGAGGATGAGGATGATGATAATGCTGATGATAAGATTGATGATGGTGCTGCTGCTGATGATGATGGTGCTGCTGCTGATTATGATGGTGATGATGATGATGATGATGATGATGATGATGATGATGCTGATGCTGATGCTGATGCTGATGCTGATGCTGATGCTGATGCTGATGATGCTGATGCTGATGATGCTGATGCTGATGCTGATGCTGATGCTGATGCTGATGCTGATGCTGATGCTGATGCTGATGCTGCTGATGGCAAAAGGAAGGTTTTTGGACGCCGAGGATGAGGACGACGCCGCCGGCGACGGCGCCGCCGCAGGCCGCCAGGGCCGCCGCCGAGCAGCTGGTCCTGCAGCCCCTCGAGGAGGGGCCACGGGGCACCGCCGCCGGGCGCCAGCGTCGTCGTCGTTGTCGTCGTCGTCCTCCATCTCCTCCTCCGACGCATCCTCCATTTCCATTTCCTCCTCCTCCTCCCTCCATTCCTCCTCCTCCTCCTCCTCCTCCTCCTCCCTCCGTCGTCCTCCTCCCTCCTCCTCCTCCTCCTCCTCCTCCTCCATTTCCATTTCCTCCTCCTCCTCCTCCTTCCTCCGTCATCGTCCTCCTCCTCCTCCGTTTCCATGTCCTCCATTCCCTCCTCCGACGCATCTTCGTTCTTTCGTTGGCCCTGTACATTCTATGCCGATTAGGCTGAACTCCAGCCGATATGTAGCGCGTCCTTGTCCGCTCAGTTTTGTAGTACACACTCTAGTGCACGTGTAGCCGGCAGAGACACATGGGACCATGAAGGACATTCATTCAGTCATTCATTCATTCATCTTTGATCGCGGGCAGGACCAGCTTCGGGCAACGACCGAGCCAAGACAAGACGAGCACAGCAGCTCGAACGGCATGGCGACGGTTGTCAGCCGCCGGGAGCACATGATGGTGGTCATGACGTGAGTCCACCTACAAATCACATTTCTGAGGCCACGGCCTCCACGCCATGCCCTACTGGGCATGGGCGGGCTCCCCAAGGGAGCGCGCACGGCTCTGGCATTCGCTTCGCTTCGCTTCGCTTCGTTTCGTTCCCTCCTCTTTTCTCTTCCTCCCGAACTTCATCCTCCCTCCTTCTCCCTCCCCCCCCTCCCTCATTACTCTTCCAGCCCTCTTTCTCCTTCTCCTCTTCTTCCTCCACGTTCAGACCTCAGCATTAACCAAGGATCCGCTTCGCAAGCTGTGCAGAGCCTGGGCAAGCGAAAGAGAGCGAGAGAGAGAGAGATGGCGTGGGGAGGTGCGTCACGCACGCCTCCTGCTCAGCGGCGCACTGCGCCAAGAAAAGAGTTTAGTGCTCGGGTCGATTCACCAGCGCAGCAGGTCCAACAACTTCGGACTGCGCAATCAATGCAGCAGGTGCAGACGATGTCGCGCGAAACAACTTCACGTGGAGCACCAAACGATCGGAAGAGCCGAGTCTCAATCACCTCCCCAAAGCCTACGTGTTGGGTGGCCTGGCGACTGAAACCCTGGGCAGGCCCTGGCACCGATAGCTAGAGGGTGTGTCCAGCTCCGACCCCGATCCAGACATCGAGCGCACGGCCAACCTTTACCCCTAACCCCAGAAGGTGCCCGTTGGGATCAGGACAGAAGATGAGCTGGTCTCCCGAGGGACGTGGCCGCTTGGCCGCGACTCGGGTGATGTCTCTGGAACGGGATCGGCCAGCAGCTTCGAGCACCGCACCAGTGAACCGAGACAGGACCTGGAGACGCTCACGCTGCTCGGAAAGCTAGGGGACTAACTCGAGAGGGACAGGGGTTTCACCATCAGCTCGTTTGGCCGTCTGGTCGGTGACACGGCTTCCCTTCCAGCCAGAGCGGGGCCACAAGATTGAGGCCTCCGTATCCTCCGTCTTCCTCCTCCTCCTCTTCCTCCTCCTCCTCTTCCTCCTCCTCCTCACTGTGCCTCCTTTCTCTCCTTCCCCAGCCCTCTCCCCCTCGCCGCCCGCCGCTGCCCGGCCGTCTTGGTTGACCTGGTGAGGCCAGCATGGGCTGCCTCCCGAGGGCTGTCTGTGCGCAGCTGGGGCCTCCTCGTCCTCCGCCGAGGCAGCTCGTCCTCCTCGTCGCCGTCCTCTTCCTCCTCCTCAATTCCTTCAGTAACTCCTCCCCGTCGCACCCCGAGGTCGGTCGAAAGGGCGGGCTCAGCGTTTCGCTTGAGACTTCCTCACCATTTATGATCCTGAAGCTTGAAATTTGCAAGAACTTCACGGATGGAGGGCGGTCCGCTTTCAAAATGCGAATCTCGCTTTAGCGCCGCGCACACTCGTTTTGAACAATTGCAAGAGTTTCACGGATGGAGGGCGGTCCGTTTTCGAAATGTGGTTCTCGCTTTAGCGCCGCACATATTCAGTTTTCAAGAGTGCAAGAGTTTCGCGGATGGAGGGCGGTTCTTTTTTAACATCTGGTTCTCGCCCTAGCGCCGCGCACATTCGTCTCAAGAGCTTGCGTGAAGGATTCTCATGGTACCGTCCCAGAGATGGTGTTTCGGCATGATGTCGGAATGTCAGGGCGCAGCAGTCACGTTGAGTCGCGGTGTTGTTGAAGTCCCAGGAGCGGCGTTCTGGCACGAGTCAGGATCGCCAAGACGCAACAGTAGTGGTGATCTGCGGCGCTCAAGTCTCAGGGATGGTGTTCTGGCACAAGTCCAGATGTCCTCAAGCGGTTGTCTTTCAACTTGGCTTCCCTCAGTTAGAATGAACCCGTGTAGGAGCACATGAAGAGGGAATTTGGAGAGAGGGTTTACTGCAACATCGTTGATGGGTCTTGGGTTTACTCTGGTCCTCTTCCTCCTCCTCCTCCTGGCTGGATTATTGTGCCACATCGGCTTGGCTGGCGAAGGAGCTCGATACATGAAAGCTTCGACTTCCCCGGCATCCTGGGAAGCTGGTTCATTGGAATACCGTCGGTGGGTCTTGGGCTTACTCCGGTCCTCTTCCTCCTCCTCCTAGCTGGATTCGTGTGCCACGTCGGTTTGGCTGGCGGAGGAGCTCGATACATGGAAGCTCTGGCTTCCCCCGGCATCCTGGGAGGCCGGGCCGCTTCTGTGCCGCACTCCGTGGGCCGACCCGGCGGGCGCGGTGCAGACACGAACGAAGCCTGGGCATCTCTTGCGCAGCTCGCCGAAGCAACCCAGCCGCACAACAGCGCGCAGCACCGCGCCCCTCACTAGGGGGCGTCGAGTGATGCAGTGGTGCTGCGCGGTGTAGATTGCCGAGTCGTCTCCCAGAGGCTCCTAGCATCAGAACGTCCAGGGTTCGCTAGGGACTGGTTTCCATTTAAAATGCCCGCAACCCTGCCGAAACCCTCTGGAAACCCTCCAGGAAGGGTTCCAGGAGGGTTTTCGGAGGGTTTCGGGAGGGTTTTGGAAGGGTTTTCATTGTTTTGGGAGGACACCAGTCCCTAGCGAACCCTCGGCCTTCTAATCCTGACAATGGATCGGACATGTACCACCTGGAGCCTCCGTGCGCACGAGAAGCCCCGAGGCCTCTCTCGAAGAGGGGGTGGGGGGGGGGGGCGCGGCGCTCGCCAGGATCCGCTCGCCGTGTGCAGCGACGGGAGCCCTGCTGGCTGCCGCCTCGGCTGCCGCACAGGAAATACAGTTGTGGAAGTCGATTAATGGAGAGGAAGCATGCTGCCAAATAATTTCCAGATGTCTAAAACATGCGTCAGACATGTTTTAAATATGTACAAACATGTTTGAAACAGTTTGAGAACATGTATTACGCATTTTAAACACATGGTTAATTCAATGACAGGATTACTAGAGTGTCCATTGTCATGGCATCCACAAAAAATACAGATCTCCAACGAGACACAGATCCTGCCTTCGTGTGAGCAGTTTGACGCCTCTGCCTCCCACTCCTCGCCTCCCGCATCCCCCGGTCCTCCATCTCCCCCGCTCCCATTCGGACTCAGACTCCAGCCTCATTCACTTAACCTTCACTTTATCCGCAAGGGCTTCGCCCTCTGCCGCCGGCCCCCTCACTATCGGAATGGGACGAGCCAGGACTATTTTAGGATGCCTGGGTGCCGACCTGAAATAACATCGGAACCTCATGCGAGGACGATTGGTAATCGTGACGTCATTTGCAAGGGATTCGGAGGCGCGAGTCTGGTGTAATTTGCAAGGGGTTATTGCCCCAGGAGCGAATGTGGTGTAGTTTGCTAGGGGCTCTGGCCTCGGCAGCGCGAATCTGGTGAAAGATGCTGGCCTCGGGAGCGCGAATCTGGCGCCAATCTGCGAGGGGGTTCTTGCCTCTAGCCTTAAGTCGGGCATGTCCCCCTACAGGGGGATTTTCGATGAAAAATAAAAAATACCCCAAACATAGTTCAAACATTATGGCCAGAGTGCAATATCCCCAAACAGGGTTTTTAGAACCACTGCGGTTTCCAAGGTCGATTGCGTGCCCGTCCAGTGCGGGCTGGCATGGCATGTTAAAACATGCCTCCTCCTCCTCCTCCTCCTCCTCCTCCTCCTCCTCCTCCTCGTCAACCTCCTCTTCATCCCGAAAGGCATCTCGGAGCCCAGAGTTGCGAGGATGTCTCCAGCGTAACGGGCTGGACCACCTCGCGCGCGGCATCTCGGACCCCAGAGTTGCGACGATGTCTCTGGCGAAACGTGGTGCGAGGAAGTCTCAGGCGAACGGGCCGGACCACCTCGAGCGCGGCGTCTCAGAGCTCCGAGTTGCGGGGGCCTCCTGGGGCCTCCTGGGACCTCCTGGTGACCTCCTGGGGCTTCCTCCTGGGCCTCTTGTGGCCTCCTGGACCCCGCCTGGGGCTTCCTGAAGCCTCTTGCGGCTCCCAAGGGGGGATATCTAACATGTGGCCGTCGGGGCCCCCCAAAATGGGGGGGGGGGCACAAGAGCAGGAACAATCAACGAATCGACACCGGATGTGTATGATCCCGACAACGTTCTGAAGGGGGCCTCCTGGGGCCTCCTGGAGCTTTGGAATGCTCCTCGCGGACCCCCTGGGGCCTTCCTTGTCGGCCTTGTCGTCCTGCGGCCTCCGGGGGTGGGGGGGGGTGGGGGGGGGGGGGGGAGCTCTCTGGGGCCGTCCTGGGCTCCCAGGTGGGCAGCAGCGGGAGCGGGAGGCTGGAGGGGCGGGAAGGGAGGCAGGGAAGAGGAACCAGGCGGGAAGTGGGAAGAGGGAGGCGGGAGAAGGAATGAGAAAGGTTGTGATTGGAGCTCCTGTGCTACAAAACGTCTCAGGCAGAATGGGCCAGACCATCTCGCGCGCAACATCTTCGAGCCTCGCATTGCGAGGATGGCTCAATCGAAACGGGCCGGACCACCTCGCGAGCGACACCTTGGAGCTCAGTATTGGAAGGATGTCTCAAACGAAACGGGCCGGACAATCTTTCGCACACGTTTTGACAAGTCCACATCGCACTCGCTTCCCGTTAGGTCCTCTCCTGCAACTCCTTTCCTTCTCCCTCCTCCTCCTCCTCCTCCTCCTCCTCCTCCTCCCCCTCCTCCTGCCTGCTCCCTCATGCACATCATCCGCCTCCTCCTTCTCCCTTCCATCTCCTTCTCCTTCTCCTCCTCCTCCTCCTCCTCCTCCTCGACCTCCTCTTCATCCCGAACGGCATCTCGGAGACTTGAGAGTTGCGAGGATGTCTCCAGCGTAACGGGCTGGACCACCTCGCGCGCGGCATCTCGGACCCCAGAGTTGCGACGATTTCTCGGGCAAACGTGGTGCGAGGAAGTCTCAGGCGAAACGGGCCGGACCACCTCGAGCGCGGCGTCTCAGAGCTCCGAGTTGCGGGGGCCTCCTGGTGCCTCCTGGGGCCTCCTGGGGACCTCCTGGGGCTTCCTCCTGGGCCTCTGTGGCCTCCTGGACTCTACCTGGGGTCTCCTGACGCCTCTTGGGGCTTCCAGGGTGGATATCAAACCTGTGGCCGTTTGGGCCTCTCCAAATGGCTGGGGGGGGCACAAGAGCAGGAAGAATCAACGAATCGACACCGGATGTGTATTAACTTCACACGTTCTGATAGGCGGCCTCCTGGGGCTTCCTGGGAGCCTCCTAGGAATCTCCTGGGGACCCCTGGGGCCTGTCCTGGGCGTCCTGCGGCCTCCCGGAGCTCTCTGGGGCCTCCCCCTCCTCCTGCCTGCTCCCTCATGCACATCATCCGCCTCCTCCTTCTCCCTTCGATCTCCTCCTCCTCCTCCTCCTCCTCCTTCTCCTCCTCCACCTCCTCTTCATCCCGAACGGCATCTCGGAGCCTAGAGTTGCGAGGATGTGTCCAGCGTAACGGGCTGGACCACCTCGCGCGCGGCATCTCGGACCCCAGAGTTGCGACGATGTCTCTGGCGAAACGTGGTGCGAGGAAGTCTCAGGCGAAACGGGCTGGCCCACTTCGAGCGCGGCGTCTCAGAGCTCCGAGTTGCGGGGGCCTCCTGGGGCCTCCTGGGACCTCCTGGTGACCTCCTGGGGCTTCCTCCTGGGCCTCCTGTGGCCTCCTGGACCCCACCTGGGGCTTCCTGAAGCCTCTTGGGGCTCCCAGCTGAGATATCTAACCTGTGGCCATATGGGCCTCTCCAAATGGAGGGGGGGGGGACAGAAGAGCAGGAAAAATCAACGAATCGACACCGGATGTGTATTAACTTGACACGTTCTGATAGGCAGCCTCCTGGGGCCTCCTGGGAGCCTCCTGGGAATCTCCTGGGGGCCTCCTGGTGCCTCCTGGAACCCCTGGGGACCTCCTGGAGCTTCCCTGGGCCTCCTGTGGCCTCCTGAACTCCACCTGGGGTTTCCTGAAGCCTCTTGGGGCTCCCAAGGTGGATATCAAACTTGTGGCCGCTTGGGCCCCTCAAAATGGAGGGGGACACAAGAGCAGGAAAAATCAACGAATCGACACCGGATGTGTATTAACTTGACACGTTCTGATATAGAGGGCCTCCTGGGAATCTCCTGGGAGCCTCCTGGGAATCTCCTGGGGGCCTCTGGGGCCTGCCTGGGCGTCCTGCGGCCTCCTGGACCTCTCTGGGGCCTCCTGAGGCTCGCAGGGTCCCATGGAGGATATGTCACATGTGGTCTTCTGGGCGCCCAGGCTGGACCACCTCTCGCGCAGCATCTGAGAGCTCAGAGTTGCGAGAATGTCTTGTGCGAAACAGACCGGACCACCTTGCGCACGGCATCTCAGAGCTCAGAGTTGCAAGGATGTCTCAGGCGAGACGGGCCGGACCACCTCGCGCAGGGCATCTCAGAGCTCAGAAGTTCGAGGATGTCTCAGGCGAAACGGCCCGGACCACCTCTCGCATGGCACCTCGGGGCTCAGAGTTTCGAGGATGTCTCAAGCGAAACGGCCCGGACCACCTCTCGCGCGGCGTCCCAGAGCGCAACTTTTTGAGGATGTCTCAAGCGAAACGGCCTGGACCACCTCTCGCGCGGCGTCCCGGAGCGCAACTTTTCGAGGATGTCGTAGGCGAAACGGCCCGGACCACCTCTCGCACGGCACCACGGGGCTCAGAGTTTCGAGGATGTCTCAGGCGAAACGGCCCGGACCACCTCTCGCGCGGCGTCCCGGAGCGCAACTTTTTGAAGATGTCTCAGACGAAACGGCCCGGACCACCTCTCGCGCGGCGTCCCGGAGCGCAACTTTTCGAGGATGTCTCAGGCGAAACGGCCAATCCCGGCCAACTCAGAAACGAGAGTTGTGAGGATGTCTCAAGCGAAACGGCCAAAACCATAAAATTTGTGTGAGGATGTCTCTGCTCCGCGTTCCCTCGGCCGGAGTTAGTTTCTACCACAACAGCACCCCGTTCAGCAAGCTGTTTGGGGGAAAATCCTGTTTGGGGTTCTGTCTCGGAGCCCAGAGTTGCGAGGATGTCCCAGGTCGCACATGGTCGACGAGTAAGCTGTCGGGTCGGCACTGTGAGAGGCTCCACCGCCATGCTGTGAACTCAGAAGCAACTTTAAGAGGAAGCGGGGGAGGGCGCGGAAGCGGGGGGGCATGTCGTGATGGTTCCCTCGGGGATGATATCGAGAGGTACGCGGCGCACGTCTCAAAAGAAAAATTGTGATGATGTCGGATGTCTGGGGAGGGCGAAAGGCAGTGCGCGCATGACGAGGCGGGAGAAGGAATGAGAGAGGTTGTGATTGGAGCTCCTGTGCTACGAAACGTCTCAGGCAGAATGGGCCAGACCATCTCGCGCGCAACATCTTCGAGCCTCGCATTGCGAGGATGGCTCAATCGAAACGGCCCGGACCACCTCGCGAGCGACATCTTGGAGCTCAGTATTGGAAGGATGTCTCAAACGAAACGGGCCGGACAATCTTCGCACACGTTTTGACAAGTCACATCGCACTCGCTTCCCGTTAGGTCCTCTCCTGCCAACTCCCTCTCCTCCTCCTCCTCCTCCTCCTCCTTCTCCTCCTCCTCCTCCTCCTCCTCCTCCCCCTCCTCCTGCCTGCTCCCTCATGCACATCATCCGCCTCCTCCTTCTCCCTTCCATCTCCTTCTCCTTCTCCTCCTCCTCCTCCTCCTCCTCCTCCTCCTCGACCTCCTCTTCATCCCGAACGGCATCTCGGAGCCTAGAGTTGCGAGGATGTCTCCAGCGTAACG